GAGAAGGAAAAATGTTAAACAATGCGAAGAAAGGATCCATGATGAATCGCAGGTAGCGGCGCCGGAGCAGCCTGGGGATGGGTTTCTCCTGCTGCTGCAATCTCCCGGTGGCAGGGAGCCTTGCCCAGCCCAGGATGCATGCGGGTTTCATTAGCGTGGCCACCGTAGTAATGACTCTGCTAATAATTTCCTTAAATCCTGGTCGTTGCGAGGGGGGGGGGGGGAGGGAGGACAGGTTTTGTGGTCAGGGTGGGACCTGCCCGGGAGAGGGACGGAGCAGCATGTGCATTTGGACCTGCCTGGGCCGGATCCTGCCTGGGCTAAATGGCTGGGAAACACGGAATGAGGCTGATCAGGTACCCCGGGAGACGTGGGCACAGATCCAGGCCTGAGCTACCAGTGGCACGATGCTGTGGCCCCCGTCCCTACGGTGGAAAAGCGCTTTCTCATCCCATCGGTAGCAAAGGTGCCCAGTGCTGCTTTGTGCTCGCCGGGTTTCGGCCGGGCTGGTGCCCGTGATTGCCCAGGCAGGGTTAACATGCGAGGGTGCATTTTGTAACAACCCCAAAATGCAGCCAGGCAGCTCCAGAAATCCTCCCAGCACATCTTAATTTTATTTTTTTGCATGGATTTCTTGCCTTTACCGATCTTTCCCTTAAAAAAAATTGGTTTCCCAAACCTCGTGGCCCAGTTGTGCCCTCCGAGGGGGGTGCTGAGCCGTGGGGGATGTTGCCTTGGATGGAGGGTTTGGTGGTGGTTTAGTGGTCACCAAGGATGGTGGTTGTGGGGTACAAAGGGGCTCAGAGGGGTTTTTGGGTAGTGGGAAGAACCCTTTGTGGGATATTGCAGAGGGACAACCAAGGAATACTCCCACCCATGGGTGCCCTCGGTGCTTTGGGATAAAAGCACCACAAAAATACACCCCAATCGATGCTTGTACCTCCCAGGCTGGAGGAGACCGTGGTGACCTCCTAGGATGGATTTTTGCTGGCTTATCCCATTTGATAAGGATGGGGGGTTTCCCCCAAAGTCTTGGAGGCATTTGTGAGGATGGGATAAGCCAGGTCCCCACAGGCACCCTCATTTGCCTGGGTGTGGGAAGCCACCAGGACAGCATAGCATGGGGGTCCCACCACCCTGGAGGGGATCAGCAACAACACCTGATGGCTGCGGTGAGGGACTGGAGAAGTAATTAATCCTGCTGTGAGGCTGCACAGGCTGATCTAGCAGGACTGGGTCACCTGTTGTTCAGAGGAGGTGGCTCCCAGCGCTCGGGCTCCAATGTCAGACACAGGGATGAGTCCCAGAGCATTGCAGGGGCTCGTTGCACGGTTGTTGGGCAAGAAAGCACAGGGTTCACCCCTCTGTGGCAAGCTCAAGGTGGGCGGTGACGGATTTCCCATGGGTTGTCCACTTTCCTGACGGTTGTACTCCTCCCAAATGGTTGTGAACCTTCCCAGTGGTTGTGCACATTCCCAAGGAGTGGGGGACCTTCCCAACAGTTATGGAACTTCCCAGGGATTGCACACCATTCCAAGAGTTATGCACCTTTCCAAGGGTTGTGGATCTTCCCGAGGGTTGTGGACTGTCCCATTGTGCACCCTCCCAAGGGTTGTGCATGAGCAAGAGGAACACGGGAGGGGAGGATGGAGTCAGACAGCAGATCAAGAAGAAAGGCAAGGAGGGACTTCTGAGGACGTATCACTAACCCCCCTATCTCTTCCAGCGCCTGGCACCAGCCGATGCTGACATCCCTCCCCAGATTCACCGTACCCTCCACTCCCATCCCAGGGCTCCCACCCCGCCATGCCCCAGCAGAGCTGCAGCCCCTCCACCTGGGGCTCCCCAACCCATCCCATGTGCCACCAGTCAATCCGTCCTGCGCCATGAGCGGGGCTGTGCGGTTCCCCTGCGTCAGGGTGCATAGCTGAGGGATGGCCTCGCTGGACCTGCCCTACCGGTGTCCGCGGTGCGGGGAGCACAAGCGCTTCCGCAGCCTCTCCTCGCTGCGGGCGCACCTGGAGTACAACCACACCTATGAGACCCTCTACGTCCTCTCCAAGACCAACAGCATCTGCGATGCTGCCGTGTTCCCCCTGGCCGCCGACGGGGCCCTGCTGACACCGGCCGCCCGGCGGGACTACTTCGAGAGCACCTCCTTCCAAGGCAAGGACCAGCGCTTCTCCTGTGACCTCGTCCCTGCTGAGGAGCTGGAGCCAGCCTCCTCCTCCTCCCCCTCTCCCCGCTATGTCCACGAGATCGAGATCCCTCTGACGGAGATCTTCACCCGGGGCAAAGCTGTGGCACCAGCCCCCACGCCACCAGCCACTATGGACGCTGCCTACGAGGAAGGCTTGGCTCGCCTGAAGATCCGTGCCTTTGAGAAGCTAGAGGTGGACAAGCGTCTGGAGAAGCTGACGGAGGAGGTGGAGCAGAAGATCGCCTCACAGGTGGGCCGGCTCCAGGTGGAGCTGGACCGCAAGAGCTCAGAGCTGGAGAAGGCCAAGCAGGAGAGCCTGCGGCTCAGTCGGGAGAAGCAGGAACTGGAGGACCGGGCATCTGAACTGTCCCGCCAGGTGGATGTCAGCGTGGAGATGCTGGCCTCCCTCAAGCAGGACCTGGTGCAGAAGGAGCAGGAACTCACCCGCAAGCAACAGTGAGTCCTTTGCCCCCTCTCCTGGCTGCAGGGTGGGGGGAAATCAGTTCCTGATGGCAAGCCCCAAGAGCCCAACACCATCACCAAACCCTCAGACCAAGTGCTAGAGCACAATCCCCTTGGCAATGCCATTAGTATCATCGGTCATCAGATTTTGCATCTTCTCCGATGCAGGCAGTGTTCACATAGACCTGGGCTTCTCCATGTCCATGACCAAGCTGAGTCACGTCATGTCAGACCTTGTCTCAGAGCCAATAGTGCTCCCAGGACATGGCCAGTCTGGGTATGCACTAGCCATCCTGCTGTCCTGTCAAGGAACATGGTGGTGGTCATGTTGCTGCAGGCTAACTCTATTGCCAAAGGGTCTCCCCCAAAATCAGGGCTGGATCATCCCCTCTGGCTCCACAGCTGAATTATCCAGACCTGTACAACCTGAGCAATCCTATTGACATGTCCCATGGTCATAAACATGAAAGGATCCAGCTTGGCCATGCCTAATTCGAAGTTTTTCTCCCAGAAGGAGGGTGCTATAGCCCAAGCAGTCTGACCTGCAGTCTGACCTGCAGCTGCTGTTAGGACTGTGGCACTGTTGTCTTCATTTTCATCCCATGTTCCCCATTTAACATCCCCTTCTCACCCCAGCGCTGCTCCTGAGTTTTCCTTCAGTCAAGCATTGGGTCATTTTGCCAATTGATGTCACTCAAGCAAAGTAGATTGTGTTCCTCGGGAGTTTCTTAGCAAAGCTGGAGGCCACCATGGGGTCCAGAAAGTCAGTGAGGAGGAGGATAATGGTGAACAGTTACAGGTGTGTTGGGAGCTGGGAGCACAGGTGGAATTCCTTAAGGACCTATCTTGATCTCCCCCATCCTTAGCACATTCATTAATGATTTTGACTCCAAAATAATGATCGTGCCTCAGAAACAAAATTCACAGGATTCGCTGGTGGGGGAGATGGTTCTGAGGTGAGGAGTGGGGTGATGCTGGGGCTGTATAAGGGCAACACCTCTTGGTTTGGATGCATGTGTATGGCAAAGGCAATGGGCAGGTTTGGGGGCTGTCATCAGCTGCCTTGTGCGTGTTGTCAAGGGACATCCTGGGGGTGTGTGGTGGCAGGATGAGAGCCAGCAGGGTGGAAAAGTCTGGAGCAGGTCCTGGAGAGATGTGAGAGAGGGCAGACAAGGGTGACTGATGGATCAAATGCGTCTTGTTCAGTCCATGGCAGAGCCTGGACACTGTTGCCACCTAAGAACCTGGTTTTATACCCCAAAAACTACCTTCTGGACCTCCCTTTCCTTAGATAAGCCCTCCTGCTCCTTGACTGTCCCCATGAGTCCCCAAACTCCTCCAGACAAAGCAACAAAATCACTTGCCAGGTTGCAGAGGAAGCATGTGAAGAGCTGATGAAAAGAGATGGGTTTTTTTCCTAGGTGTGGAAAAATCATCAGAAATCATTTTCATCAGCAAAGCTTGTTTCACCCTTCCCCAAGAACAAAACATTGCCCGGGACGTTTTCCAGCCCTGCCAGCTCCGAGACACCACGAAGCCGTTGTCCCCAGGGGAGGCTTTTTGCTCCTGAGCTCCGTTTGCTTTGCCAGCGGTGTTTTTCCACCTGGTCCATGGGAATGAGAGAGGTGGTGGTGATAACCATCAGCATCACCTTACACCCACTGTGCCAGTGCCCCATTTGCCTTCCAAATCTCCTGGGTCCCCTCGCCAGGAGCCTTCCCAAATTGTTACCAGGGAGCTGACTGGCTCAGCCTGCAAATGGCAGGTCGGGGGGGGGGGGGGGACTAATT